TACTCCGGATCAATGTTGTAGAAACAATCTGATCAAGGAGAGAATTTTATTAAGTCGTGGACTCAGCGTTGTTGGCACAATTAGTTAGAGGTGGAAGGAAAAGCAATAGATATGATGCCCTGCTGCTACATATACCACAACATCCTCAGCCTCAAACACAACATCCTATTATTCAAAATATACCATATACTCAACTTATTATATTGTATATCAACTCAAATTCTCTTATGCTCTCTGTATTCAAAACTCTTGTTACTCCTCTAATATCACTTCTTATTTGTTAAGTATTTCACCTCGACCCTTCTTTAAAAAATCCTTAAATAACTTCAAAGAAATCAGTATCGATTCTCCTTTCAAATGTGAATGGTATTAAAAACTATTTCGACGAACTCACTTCCCGAACCATATAATTTGACAAAATCGTTAATGTGAACTTGACTAACCTCTAAGCAGTTTTTCAAAATACTGCATTACTTGGGATACCAAACCAACCAACCTTACGGGAGAGCACAGGGCGGTAGTGCTGTCATTGTTTGATTTCCTATAAGTCACTGTTATAGATTTGCTGCTATTCACTCACATTTGCTCATCATATTGCCCTCTTAACCAATCCATATTCTATATGTAGTTCAATCCCCTCCTCAATTCCTTAGGACATTATCTCATTCTGGGTGCAGACTTAAACACCAAGCATCAAAACTGAGATTCGAGAACCACAAATTCACGTGGACAAACATTGTTGTCTGCACTGAATTCCCATTGTTCTACCTTCCTTCTCCTTCCTTTTCCTACCTACTTCCTCACCGTATCCAGATATCCATGATTTAAAATGGCGGCTTAGGCTCCCTTAATCAGACGTCTAAATGAACTCTGCTCTGATCATAGCCCTCTAACTAACTTTCCAAGTTTTACTAGCTCCCATTCTCAAATCATTTCCACCTTTTTTCATTAGAAGTCTAGTTAGCTAGAACCTCTTTCGTCAAATCCTGTCTAACAAAAATGACCTTAGATATCCTTTACTAGTATTATCCAACAAGCTGTCTGGACTGCCTCCTCCCCAATCGAGTCCTCCATAATTCTTGATGAAAATACTTTACAGATCTGATGCATAATAATGCCGTGCCAGATTATTATGGCAATGTACCAGACATCCCGCCCTTTGCAGCTATTATTTATATTATTGCAAACAAGATTGCAATCCATAAATCCTACCTGTCCTCCTATTCTGCACATGACAATGCCCTGTGTGATATCAATAAAAAAATTCGAAAATCCCATCTAAGTTTGTTATCACTTTCAATGAGTTTAAGCGTCTGATGCGAGGAGAAAATCGGAATGGACAGGAATATGAGGGGTAAAAGTATTTATACTCTATCTTTCATCTTTTTGTACTCCTACATTCAGTGGTCTTTCGAATGTCTGTGTGACTATTACTAATGATACTTATTGATTGTTGTTGTGCAATGTATTGTTCCTTTAATGTTCTTAAGAAACAAAACAATATTATATCTACTATATTTTAAACAACTAGCATTGATATAACATCTCATATATATATATATTTATTGTTTTTCTCAAATAGATTTAAGGGATCACAACTTTAGTTCTGTTGACGGATTCAAAAACCTTAGAAGCCTGGTCACATACAATAACAAAATAGAGAATTAAAGGCCAGGATAGTAGCAGGATATAGATGCTATTTCTAACTGAAATTTAGATCACTCTCTAAAAGGATCAAGATCCTCATCTACAAAACCATACTTAGGCCAGTGGTTATGTATGAGTGTGAGACTTAGACCTTAACCAAAAACTCAGAATGCATGCTCAATACCTGGGAAAAAAAAGTATTGAGAAGAATATGAGGCGGAATTTCCGAGTATGAAATTTGGAGAAGAAAGAATGAGGAGCTGCTGGAACTTTGTGGAAAATCTGATATTGTGGCATTGATAAAAAGAGCCAGGATAAGATGGTTAGGTCATGTGGAAAGAATTCCAAAGAGGATGTTGTATGAGAAGCTGGATGGCAAATGAAGAAGAGGACATCCTCAGATCAGATGGCTGGAGGATGTGAAGCACGATCTGAGGCGGCTGGGGATTCGAAGATAGAGGAAAGTAGCACAAAACCGTGGAGATTGGTTGGCTGTAGGGATGGGCAATTCCGACTACAGATCGGAACGGAGTTTTTCACTACTGGAATTGGTTCCACTTCTCGTTCCAAACAACACATGAGCCGCGATAGAGAATAATGAAGCAAATATGCGTAACAATACAATTATTTGAAACGACTGAAAAATCATTGAGACAGAGGAAAATGAAGAGAGAGTACACGGAGAGGAGTACACAAAAATTAAAAAAAAATAGAACGAACTGGAAGTTTTAGGAGCATTGATGTGCGTTTGAGAGCAACATTCTCAAAATGGGGCACCTGAATCAAAGGCAATGATTGAATTAAACAGACACTTAAAATATCTGGTGTGTCCACTCACACGACTTTCCTACCTATTTCAGAAAAGTTTTCATATGTTTTCATATGTTGATGAGGAAACAAAAAAGAATTGAACTAGATACATTTTCCTGAAAATTGATCAAACATAAGATTTGAGTAAGATTTATTTGATAAACTAAAGCAATGTAAACCGGCTTAAGGTAGATCAGTATAAAAATTTCAATACCTCCTAATATTGACAAAAGTTTTTGCCATAGCTTAGTATCATCAAAAAATAATTTCTGTTAAAAGTTGAGGAAATAGTGAAGATTGTGTGATGCTTGGCAACTGATTTTCTTACTTTCACTTAGTCATCTTTATTCTCTCATTCACCCCTTTCTGACACCATGATATGAAACCGTAATCTTACATTGGAAATTAAATAGCTGTAACTTCATTAATAGTTGTCCAAAATGAACGATTTGTGTATGGCTTTGTAGGGAATTTTATTACCTTTCAAACGACAGGCTAAACTGGAGCAACGAATTTCTGTCACAGGCATCAGTACCCAAACCCTACAAAATAAAAAAAGAAGCAACAAAATCGGTTCAGTAGTTCTCGAGAAAATCTTGGCACAGACAGACAGACCAATGGCTAAAAATGTGTTTTTTCGGACTCAAGGGGCTCTGAAACGTATAGATCCGTTGAAAACCGCATGTCGGAAATTTGACCCGATTGCAATACTTTCTTTACCTAATATAGGTAGGTAGGTAGGAAAGTAAAAAAGGATATTTTATATGACAACGACGATCCTATTAAGTGGTGGTTTGATCTGCAGAACAACACATCTAATTTGCACATCATTGCCAAAGAAATGTTGAGTATAGTGGCCACTTTGGTTCCACAACGAATCTTTTCAAAAGTGATCGATTTAAAAAACGAACGTCTGAATTGACTATCAGCTGATAAAGTAAAAATTGCTGTTTTTAAATTCCAAGTTTTTAATTGATTTATATAAAGTTTTTATTGTTTTGGTTTTTTAATTCATTCTAAATTTTATATTATAAATTTGTTTGTTTATATCTTTATTTTTTAATAAAACTATTTTTTGGTTGGCAAAATTCATATATTTGTCTTAATTGCTCTTAAATATTCCATTACCCAAAGTTACAGCGAAATATTATTAATGAATAAAAATCCATTTCTGTTTTATAATTTGCTTTTTTTATTTTACGCCCAATTTAATTAATTTAAGACTCACTAAACTGAAAAAAATATAACTTATTTAGACACTTTAATCTGTATCATAATCATTCCCAACGGATGCTATAATGAAATCTCTGAGTGGATCGAAAAGGCAATTTAATCGAACGTAAAAGCGTTCACATTCCGATGGAAAGAGATTCCAAATCCCTTCCCAAAGAGAAAGACCATTGTTCCAGGTGGAACGAGAAAGACCGTTCCGGGTGGAACCATTCTAAGATGTTCCAAGAGTGGAATGAAATTCAAGACCAGTTCGGAAGGGGAAAGACCTTTCCAGGTGGAACTATTCCGAAACGTTCCAGAGATGGAATGGTTTCATCGAACCGGTTCAAGAAATTTTTATTACGACTAACGAGACTGTTAGTTCTGGTTCTTTTTCGTTCTACCGTTTTAGTATGACTTACAAATAAATTAAAAATAAAATAATCATGAAAAAAGCCAATATTTAATAAAAATCTATATATATTTTTTAATGTTTAAACAATATTGATATCTCTTATGAATTTTATAGGTAGCTAGCTAATTAAAGTAACATAAAATAAAATGCGAAATCTTTCTAAATTCAAATTTTTGTTTTTCTAAATTCAAATAAACCAATTGTATAAAATTCTCTGACAGATTTCATTTGCACAACAGAACCACATATTTATCACATTGTTTTAATAATAATAAAATTTGATTAAAATGTTTATTTAATATTATTTATAATTAGTTTATTATTATTTTAATGGTTTATCTGAATCTTGGGATTATAATTAATATTTTTAAAATTTGCAAATTTCTATCTTAAAATTATGGTTAGGATTTTATTTAATTATATTTCTTTTATTTAATCAAATGCTTAATTATTTTTAGTAGTTTTGGTTCACTTCGGAAGCAAAAAACCTATTCGACTATTCTGTTAATCCACTTCGGCGGCAATCAGTGCTCTAGCCTTAATTGCTACAAATATCTTTTGTACCTATTTGACTTTCCTGCCTAACATTTACCTATCGAACCAAAATACGTTTATATTCTTGGATTACGTTCCGGCGGAACAAAGTTTCGGAAGGTCTCGTTCCGTTCCGAAGCGTTCCAGTGGTGGAATTCGTTTCGCCCCTGGTTGACTGTAGTGTAGGAGGCCCGAGTTACCAAGTTCTTGCAGGACCATTGTGCCAATATAATAATAATTGTTTTTCTCAATAATCTATTGTCTAGTTTTATATAATTTAATGGTTGTTAATTACCCTAGATAGGGTTATGAATTTCTTTAGAAATGTTAATCCTTAATAATATTTTGAAGTGTTAGAAAATTTTAGTTTTTTACTTTTTAGGATGAAAAAGGAGCTTATATGATCGATAGGGACCCTACATATTTCAGTCCTATTCTCAACTATTTAAGGCATGGCAAACTTATTATTAATAAGGATTTAGAAGAAGAAGGTAAGCTTTTTATGTTGTAGTTATTAAAAAAATATTAATTTAGTTTTTATTTTTGTAAATTTATTATTTAAAAATTTAAGATCTGTTCTGAGTGTTGATGGTAATAATATTTTAAATGTTAACATTTTGACTCACATTGTCTTTATCAAGATTGAAAACAGGAGTTATCTATTCTTCTAGCCTCAACTCTACATCAAGCCTCTTTTTCAGGACATTGTTCACCATTGTTTGTATTATTTATGCTAAAAATTATTTCATAGCAACATGTCTCTCCTGCACACACCTATTCCCCTATAACTTTTCAGATATTGAGTTTGATAAGTTCTTTTCCCTTCCTAAATCTAAATTATCTAACAATTATAATATATGAAATCTTTAAAATTATTCATCTCCTGGTTTCAGCTATGTCAAACATGCACAATATGGGTCAATAAAGTGGCATTAATAAATATTTATCACTATTTATTTATTTTTTTTAACTTAGACCTGAACAATCTTCTTGATTTACTATACAGTCGACCATCAACACTTAATACTTAATCCGTTGCTTAGGTGTTCTGGAAGAAGCAGAATTTTATAATATTACCGAACTGATCCGTCTTGTCAAAGAAAGGATAAACCAAAGGGATACGAGACCACTGAAAGACAGTAAGAAACATGTGTATAGAGTCCTTCAATGTCATGAGGATGAGATAACACAGATGGTTTCTACCATGTCCGATGGTTGGAAATTTGAGCAGGTCCTAATAATCTTCATATTGATAAAATTTATAAATAGTTAATCCAGTAGTTAATTTTTCTTTTTAATTTACAGTTGATCAACATTGGGTCTCAGTATAATTATGGTAATGAAGACCAAGCAGAGTTCCTCTTTGTTGTTTCTAGAGAATATGGAACCAGTAATAACACAAAAGAGGCCGAACCTACTGATAGAGCTAAGGTAATATTTTTTTAAAATTCATAGTTGTTATGTATGTTTGGTAAACATTGTTCAGCTGTCTTCATGCCTTGTTGAATTTAAGAAAGTTGAAAGTTTGAATTTACTTTTGATTCCTCACTTCCATGTTCCAGAGGTTAAAATAAATTTTGTGCTCAGATTCGAAAATTTCCTCTTGCGTTCTACATTTCAGACATCAAGGATCAAATTTGGTTCGGTGTCTGTTTGTCCGCAATCAAATTGATGTGACGGGCATATCACCTACTACTGTTGATCAAATTTTAATGAAATTTTTAGGGATTGTGCAAGATGATCCCATATCAATTTTATCAAATTCCATCTAGAACTTCCACTTGTGCATGCGTAAATATATTTTCTTAGATATGTCAATATTTCAGAAAAGGCTTGTTCGATTTGACTCGAAGTTGAAAGAAAGGTGGATTTTGTTAAAATAATGATTCTGTATCAATTTTATCGAACTCTGTCCTCTTATATGTGAAAACGTCTATTCCATGATACATCTATATCTCTAAAACCACATATTCAATTAGGCTAAAATTTGGAAGTTAGGGATTGATAAACAGATAATCAAGTATTTATCAATTCTACCAAATTTTATCCACTACTTTCAATAAAATACTTCCGCATTCAGATCAGGAAATGTATTATTTAACATGCCTTTAGTTTGAAAACAGTTCATTCATTTATAAATTACCTAATATCAATTTCATTGAATTCCATTTTATGATTAAAATTAAGATAAATAACTGTTAACAATATAATATCTGTTAAATGTGGAAGGCATTGATCATATGTTATGGGGGTTAGGTTAATGCAATATTTTTACTATGTTATAAAATTTTAGGTTTTATTCAAAAAGTTAATTTATACTTTATTGTTTGGTCGATTCTAAATGTTACTGGCATGACACTTTCTGCCATTGCTTAGATTTCATGCACTTTTTAGTAAATTTAAATTAATTGTTATTCTGGGTTTGTAAAAAAAAAAAAGGTTTATTTCTATTGAAGGTCACCCAGCTCGTCGTGGCCTCGATCTATTTCCTCCTTAAACATTAAAGTTGTGTGAATTTGACTCATATTTTTATATTCCAGCTTAAATTAGTTTTGTTTTGATTGAAGAATAGTATTGTTCTCGTTAACTTCAAACAAACAAAAAGTTGAATTTTTCCAATGGATTGGTTGATCCATCCATTTTACGAGTGAAAACATACCTATTAAGTATTCATCGCTATTGTTAGTGCAAAAACAACTAGTATGTAAAATTTTTCAATTTTTATTCTATTTGGGCTAAAAGTGACATTTTGTAGTCTGCAACTGATATTTGTAGTCCGCTATTATGGAAAATAGCAGATGGCAATAAAATTATACTAATAAATCATGAAGAAATAATTAGTTTTTATTCTCTGGTGTAAACCACTCAATTTTTACATACGTTCTTTTGCACTAACAATAGCAATATGCATGTTCAGTATGTCCCGCAATTTTTTTTTATCACAGTTTATGAAATACACGATTTGCAAGTGTGGAACTCTTCCACATTTTAGTATTCGCTGAAGAATAAAATTTGTGGATATCAAATTCACAAATGTTAAGAGATTACTGTTTTTCTGAAAATGCCTTCTCCCAGAGATTTTATTCTTATACGAAAAATTATAGACATTTAAATATAGAGCCAATGAAAACGGTGAAGAAGCTATACTGACTTTACTTGGCAGACTTTTTTGTTTGGTTTAAGTATAATTTGAAGCATAGATGTATATCCATTTAGGCTTTAATATCTAAGAAATGATTTCAGGATATGTCTGATAATTATTGTATAGGAAATGTCTCTCACTGCACAATTTATGCACTAAGCATTAAATTTTTTTTCCCCATAGAAAATTTAATGTGTTAAGCCAAGATTTCAATATTGTGAGAAAATGCAGTTCTACTCATTAGATATCTCTCACCCACAAATATATTTGTTTTCTGCAAAGCAATATAAGGAAATTTATTTCTTAAAGAGTGTGCTGATATTGTTGCTATACTAGCTGTAGAGTAATAATGGATTTTTTGTGGGTATAAAAACTTGAATTTATAAAGCTGAAATGGAGGTTTTCTGGCATTTTCTTTGATTGTTCATCACATACTTCATATACCAACTATTGTCATGGTGTGAGGAAATTCATCAGTTATAGAAAATAAAATTTTAAAGACATTTTTTTTCTTTATCAATTTTGATCTACTTAACAATTTCATTATTTTGTATTATACGGTTATATAAATTATGACAATTTTTTTTCTTGCCATATTGAGATTATTTTGTAGTCAAATATTGGTAACATTTCACATTGTAAATAATAGCCAAGTTAAATTAGTATAAAATAATGGGTCTAGCTTGCAAAAGATTGAGTAATTCAAATTTCTTTTTTATATTGTTAGGTAAGTAATGTAGTGAATACAAAAAGTCTAAGTTCAAACCATTGACATTTTTAACTTTTTTTTTGGTTTACACTAAATATCTCCTTTTTAAATCGACATGGATACAAATTGCTCATATTCAATCTTAAACAGTTTAAATTATCCAACATTTTGTATGTAACATTTTTTTCTAAACCCAACAGGAAGTGCACTATTGAGCTTTCAAAATGGGTTAAAGTTTTGAGTATTAATAATACCTTTATTCACAATTCAGTATTTCAGCGCTGCAGTCTTCTATTATAGAATAAACTTACTCACTGTCTGTACAGATATTATAATTTTTCCAACTAGATATATCACTAAAATGACTTAACTAAAAAATGTTGAAATTAGAGTTAGTCATTATGTCAACTGAAAGTCTCATATATCCTAATGGTTATGATATTACAAAAAAATAAAATAAAAAAATAAAAATAAAATACATTTACTCTGTTTGACAGGTTTTGCAACAAATGGGATCAAGAATGTAAGAACACGCTTCGAGCAAGAGCCTGCCAGCTGGTATTTATACAGAAGAACAATAATTGTGCAAATAACTGTGATGTTTTATTAACTAAGTGTGGACATCAAACCTGTTACAGACATTGAAGAAAACTTATCGAATCAATTTTGCTGTTCAATTTTTTATTTTTACATTTTAAAATAACTCTTTTTTTACCTAAGATAATAAGATCTGTGCTATAAAATAAGTTATTCGTTAACTGTGATTCTATTCTCATAACTCATTTGTATGACTTTCTAAAAAAAAATTACAAAAAAAAAATCTTTTTACTGCACTAGTTTATTATTTATATACATATTTTTAAAATATGTACAATATAAAATGAAATCATATTAAACCTTTGCTATTTCATTTAGACTTTTTGATATAGAAAAAAAAGGGAAAAAATGTGAATATTTGGTTACATTGGTGTTGTGAATGCCCAGCCCACTTATGCTCATGATGTGGAATAGTGTAAGAGGTGCTAACATTGTGTTATCTTCCTTTTACGTAATTTTATTATTATTTTAATTTTATTTTAAAACATTAAATATTGTTGTTATATAGATTCAAGTTCCTCCTTAGAATAATGACAATATTGTTTGTTTTTAATTTGGAGATATTGGATGAATTTCCTTTACCTATTACAAACCCAAAAGACTTCCTTAATTGTTATTTATTATCTATTTATGCTGTTTGAACTATGTTATTATTTTTTTTGTTTTAAAATACATATTCTCGACCATCTTCTTGTATGATTTTGTTGAGACCTGACATTGATTCTTGTATTAACCATCCTTTTGGTATTTTTTTAACATATATTTTATATTTATGTATAGTTTTCTTACAATATTTTGACACTTGTTTTATTTAATTTTAATTTTTTTCTTATTCATAAACTTTGTTACTTTTTTAAATGTTAATTTAGCAGCCTTAGTTTATTTTCATTATCTCTTATTTGTTTTTTAATTATAATTACTATTATTTGTAATAAAGTAAATTTTAATTTGTATTACACTTTCATCTTACTTTATTTTATTTCTTCTTATATTTTTTTTAAACCTCAATATATTTTAATGGAAAATTCATTAGCAAGTTATATGCCAGGAATGGATTTATATGGTAATGTATCTTTTTATTTTTTAACAAGCTATTTAATATGCACATGCATGGATTTAATTTAAGTGTAATCATTTTCCTTTTTTCATTATACTAAAATAAGCAAAAAGCTCGAAAAGAGAAATTTTGAATGGAACAATCCAAAATATAAAGCCATGGGTCTCTAACTACAAGTGAACAGTGAACAACTTGCCAATTCAGGCTTCATCAGGACAGAAAAAAACATGATCACTTATATGCAGAAAGAAAGAATCCCCCCCCCTCCTTTCTTACTTTCTGTGTATTGATCTTGTTTTTTCTGCCCTGATAATGCCTGAATAGGTGAAATATTTGCAGGTTTCTATAAGATTCTATGCACCCTTGAGATGGAAGGAAAATATTTTGCATAATTTCAAAATTTTTTTGTATAATTGTTTTCTGTCTTTGCTCCATGGATTTCTAGGATGTTTTATACCTATTGATTTGTTTTTATGTGTAAAATAAGAAATTTAATGAGTGATTTCATTAAAGTAGTGTTTGCCCGGTGGTCGAAATTCGACCATAGCCATTAAAAATTTGAAGAAAACATAATTAAATTAAAAATAAATTCAATAAATAAAGTGTAAATCACGATTCAAAATTCTTCATTTATCAATATAAACAAAATTTCAATTTCAATTAAAAATCAAGCTTAAACTACCTAAAATTATTTATACGTCATACAAAATTGACCCATTCAAAATACTTAATTTCCATTTTAATTTATATGTGTTATTATCACAATAAATTAATGTTATGATTAAGCAAGTAAAAAATAAATTTAAATTAGCAATTTCAAACGAGTTTAAATCCATTTTTATACAGAACGTCTCTGAAAACAATGTTCTGTCATTGTTTAGTACATAGCATTGACCATTGCAATTGGAAATATAAATTTCAAAATTTTAATTTTAATTTTAACGTGCTCTATTGGCTGCTACTTATAATTGTCCATGCAAATTACTGGACTTCACAATAATACACAAATTTTTCCAAAAGTTTGACCCTGTGATTTGATTATGGTCATAGCAAATGCAGCTATTAATAAGAACGTTCATTGAAATTTGAATAGAAGTATTGTGCCAGAAAATATTAAATTAATTCTTGGAATTCAAATTTTTTTATTTAAATTAGCTCCCGTCAGTACTTCACTCTCATTCATGTTCCATTAACTCCTGCTTGTGCAGTATTTAAGTTAAGAATGAGTATAACTAAAGAATTTATTTTTAAATTTAATTCATGAGGTAACATTCTATGATATCATCTCTTCAAATAATAGTCCCTAATACTTCATTAAATTTAAAGTTCTCGATTTATCAAAAACCAAAATAGAGGAAATTGACTTTGCAAAAGAAAAAGTACTAACGCAATCTGCCCTCCTTAAAATAACCCATGAGCTCCAAATCTCCATTGAACACCAAAACCTAACTATCCTCATTCTTCTAAATTTTTCCAAAGCATATGATACAGTTGATCATAAAATACTTCTTATGAAATTGCAAAATCTTCCTCTGTCGAACAGTGTCCTGCGTTGGTTCAAATCCTTCCTTTCCGACCGATCCCAATATGTAGTCGTCCCAGATCAACCTCCTTCAAAGACACTTCCCCTCTTCTTTGGTGTCCCTCAGGGTTCCTCCTTATCTCCTACTCTGTTTGCTATTTATATTAATGACCTTCCCCTCCTGATCCATCATTCCCAATACCACATCTATGCTGATGATTTCCAAATATACCTGTCTTTCCCCCCTTCTGACCTATTCACCACCACAAAAAACCTTCAAGAAGATTTAAATAGAATATATCACTGGGCAGGAGCTAACAAGCTGAAGTTGAATGCGGAAAAGAACAAGGCAATTCTAATAGGCTCCAATTACCTCCTCAAAACTGTTCCTAACTTTCCAACTCTGTTCCACTAGCGGATCCAGGATTTAATTTTGGGAGGAGGCTTCAGCCCGAAAGCTGTTTTCTTCATAAAAATAACGATAATTACTTTGGAAAAAAAGAAAGAAACTAACTACCTATATGAAATGGTGTCTAAGTGATTCCTAAAGCCCTTTTAAATGTAATTACATAAACATTAATACTTTAAGAGATACTTTTTAAATATTTTTTACGATAAAACATGGCTATATTTTACCATTTTGAGAGGGGGGCTTCAGCCCGAAAGCTCCCCCCGTAGATCCGCCCGTGCTCTGTTCCTACATGATAATCCCATAAAATTCTATCCCATCATCAAAAACCTTGGAATAATCTTTGATCAAACCCTTTCCTGGAAAAACCATGTATCCAATATCTCCCGACGCACCTTTTCCACCCTAAAACACTTAAATAGCCTGATACACCTTTTTCCTTTTGAAATCCGTAGACTCCTGGTCACCTCCTTAATATTTCCCCACTTCGACTATTGCTGTATGGGTATATGGGGGCGTCTCTGGAGATCTCGAGGCGAAACTAAAACGTTTGATAAATTGCTTTGTACTATTCATCTGGTATTCTACGAAGAGCTGAAATGGCTTTTTCCTTCCTACCACCGTGAGTATTTCCCGGCATCCTTCCTCTTCCAAGTAATTCACTCCCGCCGTCCTTCATACATCTCCGAGCTCCTTCAATTTAAATCCTCTGTCCACTCCCGCAATACCCGTTCCTGGTCTTCAGATTTGTATATAATGGCCCACCGAACCGCTGCTTTCGATAAATCTTTTATTATTCGACCTCAACCCTAAGGAACGCCATCCCTCCCCACATCCGTCAATCCAAAACTCTAACTACCTTTAAATCCAGCCTGTTTAATCATTTCTTATCCATCCAGCCCTCATAGAATTGTAAATAACTACCACTGTAAATATGTATATAAATTATTAGATCGTTTTTCATTATTTTTACTTCATGTTTATTTCCAATTTTTTATTATTAACTGATTTAAATTAGAAAATAACTTATAATTTCTTTTATTATCTTTTTTGACTATATAATCAAACTATATTCTTGTTTATCTATCTCTGAGGCTCCTTAGCCCACATCTTTGCCTCTCTATATTATTCTAAAGGGACTCGTCCCAGAATAAATAAAGTATTATTATTATTAAATGTTTGAAATAATATATATCTGTATGTTTATTTTTCGATTCCAGTGAAAATTGGTAATTGGGGATTTATCAAGGTGCGAAATACAAATCTCAACTTTGTTCCTCCTTAAAAAAATATTTGAACCCACTTTACTCCTACGGCCGCTACGATTTCTTTCATTTCGAAGATAATTCTTATCAATTTCGATGATTTTTTTTTTATTTTGTAGGGAATTCAGGAAGTTTTTAAATAAATATTGGTACCATCAATAACAAAATGTGTACTTTTTGAGTTATTCGCAAATAAAATACTGTGATAATGAATTCATCATAAAAATGTATGCAGCTTGTTTTCGGGAAAGTATGTTATATAAATATTTCAAGGGAAAAACTTTAGCCAAGTTTCATTAAAATCGTTCAAGCCGTATTGGCGCTACAGTCTAAAGCGAATCACGTTTTTGGGGCGCCATTTCGAAAGGAAAGGCCTGATCATAATGAAACGTATAAAAAAACATTTTTAAATATTATTGCGACAATGTGCCAAAATTTCGAAAGAAATTCGGAGATTAGCTGTTTTGAACAAACTACCATTTATATATTTATTTACAAACTATTTCATATTTTTATTTATTGATAACACTAAAGCTCGTCAATAGCTATTAAACAAAAAAAGAAGGAAGAAAATCGGTTGAATAATAGAGGAGAAAAAGGGGCTGAACCGTTTTGTGTTTGCCTATTTTTATAATGATGTTTAATACATTTCAACAACCAAAAGGCTTTTAGGCGAAGTAGGTCGTCTAGTAAATTATTGTCAATAAAAAGAAAATGGTTTGTAATGCCCGTTTAAACTTTTAGATATGAAGTTGTATTAAAATAAAAATATTTAGTTTTTGGATTTGATTTTATTGGATTTTTTTCCCTGCCATTTACTAAAGCATTCAGATTTATTACGTTTATAAGGAATACATGAAGAAAAACCTCAAATATTTTTATTTTATTTCATATTTACACACAAACACACACATATATAACAACTCAAACGCGATGATGGGTATGTTCTGTACCCAACAGTGTTTACATTCATTTAACGTAAACTTGGATTTCCTCTCTTCATGGATTAATGAAAACCTAGAAGTTCTTGCTTTAACTTAGGCATTAAAAGCCGGAATTTTTTTTCCATTCTCCCGTCCCTCGCATTTTAGGCTTTTTGCTTTTAGGGCGGGGGATCAATGTCACTTAAAAGCCCTCTTGGCACCGGGTAGTGAACTTGTAATTATTTTTTATCAAAAGTGTCAAATAGCAGATTGCTGTGCACACGCGTTACTCTGCTCTCTGCCCCTGAAAAGCGGGAAATGAAAGCTGGGAGAGCACTGTTCCTTCTATCAGGAGTTGACCATTATTAACATAGTTATTGGCCCTACTTGGTCGATAGCGCGTGAACCTTCACCCCCTCTTTCTTCCTCCCCCGCTCCAAATTTTGTTGCTCTCTTTTTCTTAAAACCAGTGCAAGCGAAAGTAGAATTTAAAAACATATATTATATACTACTATACATCCTGCAGACTATTCCATACTTCACCTTGTCTTTTGGTTTGAAACTTTTCTTTTGGAATAATCATAATTCCGTCAGAATGCCCCCACAAAAATTGTAAACAAATGAAAC